CTTTCATGAACTCATTTATTTTTTGTTTCATAGTTTATTTGTATCGACTGATATTTCTGTTATTTCCTTTATTTTGCTGCTTTGTCTGTCAAAACACTTGGAACTCTGGTTTTACAGGTGCAATATAAATAAAGTCTTCTCTGTATGAAACGTCTCAGAGCAGCTGAACCACAGTGATCAGTCTGAGAAGTCTCGCCTTTAAAAACACTTTCAAGTTTCCTTCAGACTGAAGATCAGAAACTTGAAGCTGGAGCTGAATGAGTGACAGTCTAACCTGTTGTTGTTGCTGTTGCTGCTGCAGCAGCAGCCCTGACCCTCACCATGGTGCTGAGGGAGGTCCCCGTGGAGAACATGGCTCGTCCTCTGGGCAGGAACGAGGTCCTCGGTCTTCTCTTCAGACTCACCATCTTTGGAGCCGTCACCTACTTCACCATCAAGTGGATGGTGGATGCCATCGACCCCACCAGGAAGCAGAAGGTGGAGGCTCAGAAACAGGTGAGGGGGGGTGGGGCTTAGAGGGACAGGTGGAGGCTCAGAAACGGTTGAGGGGGGGGGCTTAGAGGGACAGGTGGGGGGGGGTAGAGGGAGGGGTGGAGGGGTGGAGGCTCAGAAACAGGTGAGGGGGGCGGGGCTTAGAGGGACAGGTGGAGGCTCAGAAATGGTTGGGGTGGGCTTAGAGGGACAGGTGGAGGCTCAGAAACGGGTGAGGAGAACATTGAGCTGAGTTAACTTTCTCTAGTTAAATAAAATCCTGGTCACGTGTTTTGATGTTTTCTCCTTCAGGCCGAGAAGTTGATGCGTCAGATCGGAGTTAAAAATGTGAAGCTGTCAGAATACGAGATGAGCATCGCTGCTCACCTGGTCGACCCTCTGACCATGCAGGTAACAAACACAGTACATGAGTACTAACAGTAGTACCAATACAAGAGGTACAATACAAAGGTTGTGAGAAGTATAGTTACATTAATATTGTATTTTCAAAAAGAAGCGAGTCAATAGAATAACATCAGAGGACCTAAAGGGGAGCCCTGTGGAACACCAGTGATTAAAAACACTTAAAACACACAATGTGATGCAGGTTTTACCAGCTAACCTAGCCTTGTGCTAATATACTTAGCCTCATGCTAAAGCTAACCTAGCCTTGTGCTAATATACTTAGCCTCATGCTAAAGCTAACCTAGTCTTGTGCTAATATACTTAGCCTCATGCTCAAGTTTAGTCAATAAATTAAGTTTGTTGTTGTTTTAGAGATTAGTTGTTGTTGATGTTCATTTGGATACTTTGTGATGTTTTAGTTCTGGTTCTGTTCACAAACCAACCAGGAGTAAACAGGAAGTCAGCTAACCTGCTGATTGGACGGTGTTGGTGATTGTCGTTCATCAGGATCAAATAGTTATTGTATTTATGACGTATAATAATCACTATTATTAATATTAGACGCCATAAATGATGATGATGGTTGCTAACGCTACGAGCTAACGCTGGAGAGAACATCTGTTGGTAGTTACCCTGTTAATGTCGTCATAATCTATAAATAGATCACATGGAGGGACATCGCCGGTCTGGACGAGGTCATCACAGAGTTAAAGGAGACGGTGATCTTACCTGTTCAGAAGAGACACCTGTTCCAGGGCTCCAGACTACTGCAGCCTCCTAAAGGTGAGACAGGCTGTAGATCAGTGTCATGATGTCATACATTGATTGATGATGTCGTCATGGTAACAGGCGTGCTGCTTTACGGACCTCCTGGCTGCGGGAAAACACTCATCGCCAAGGCGACGGCCAAGGAGGCGGGGTTTCGCTTCATCAACCTGCAGCCGAGCACGTTGACGGACAAATGGTACGGAGAGTCTCAGAAACTAGCTGCTGCTGTCTTTTCATTGGCTGTCAAGCTGCAGCCGTCAATCATCTTCGTGGACGAGATCGGTGAGACACACACACACACACACACAGACAGACAGACAGACAGACAGACAGACAGACAGACAGACAGACAGCTGTCAATCAAAGGAGGGGCGTGGTCTGAATCATGAGTTTAAACCTATGTTAGTTGTTGTTCCCTCTGTACAGAGCTAGGCTAGCTGTCTCCATCTGTTTCCAGTCTTTATGCTAAGCTAACTAAATCTTGAACAGACTCGTTCCTGAGGAGCCGGTCCAGCTCGGACCACGAGGCCACGGCCATGATGAAGGCCCAGTTCATGAGTCTGTGGGACGGACTGGACACAGACCACCACTGTCAGGTACAGACAGACAGGTAGAGACAGAGATAATAATGAGTCTGTTGTTGATGACGTCATCATGTGTGTCAGGTGATCATCATGGGAGCCACCAATCGTCCTCAAGACCTGGACTCTGCTATTCTGAGGAGGATGCCCACCAGGTTCCACATCAACCAGCCTGTAAGTACTCCTAGTGACCCCCATCAGACCAGGACCTGAACCTGTAAGTACTCCTAGTGACCCCCATCAGACCAGAACCTGAGTCTGGTTCTAACTGAGTTGAGATACTTAAATTTCAAAATAAGAGCCCTGGTTTGTTTTGTTCCTTCAGAGTACGAGTCAGAGAGAACAGATCCTGAAACTGATCCTGGAGAACGAGAGCGTGAGTCCCTCGAACGCACCGTGTGGCCTTCACTGACACTCTGTAAACATCACAAGCTTAAAAATCGGATGAAAATACCCAGAATCCTCCTCTCCGAGACCATACAACCTTAAGCCCCGCCTCTGTCCACGTTCTGACCTCTCTCTACCTGCCCGTCTCTCTGCAGGTGGACCTGTCTGTTGACCTGGTTGGCGTTGCCAAAGAGACGGACGGTTTCTCAGGAAGTGACCTCAGAGAGATGTGTCGTGACGCCGCTCTGCTCTGTGTCCGAGACTTCGTCCACACGCAGAACGACAGGTACCTGTCTGTCTGATACTGTTTTAATTAAATATAATTTATCAAATGTTTTATCTTTGATCAATAAACGAAAACAATCGCCTGTCTCTCTCTGTCTCCATCTTTACCTCTCTCTAACCGTCTGTCTCTCAGTCCATCGGAGGACTTCATCCGTCCGATCCATCAGTTAGACCTTCAGAAGGCGATCGGTAAGATGAAGAAATCCAAGATGGCCGGCGGTCACAGCGCTCTGCTGCACGCTGCTCTGGACTGAACACACACACACACACACAGGTCACATGACCATTGTGTTATGACATCAGCTTTGCCTGCAGTCGTGGGTTTGATTCCCAACGTACCCGTTTATGTGCCACTTCTCAGAAATAGAAATAAAAACATGAAACAAACGCTGCTTTGAGAATCTTTTAAAATAAGAAGAATGAATTCTTGTTACATTTCCTCTCATTGGGTTCTACTGTACGTACGTACGTACGTACTACACTACCCATGAGCCTCAGCAGCTGTGACATCAGAACTCAAAACAAAAGAACGGATTAAGATCTCTGGATTTTCCATTGACTTCTACAGACTTTCTCCTTGCTTGATCTTTTATTGTGAAACCCCCCACAGCTCTCTTATTTCCTAATAATTTAACCGAAGTTTCCTGAAAAGAAACATAAAATAGAAACTGTTCAATTAAATAAAGAAACTCATTAAGACAACATTCAACATCTCCAGTAGAGTCGGCTGACCTGAAGCAAATGTTAACTATTGATTACAATAAATACATTGGAGGGGAACCTGAACAGTGAAGAATACTTATTCATAAATAACATATGAATAGATATATTAGTACATAACACGTATTCTTTCCGGGGACATGAATAGAAAATTATTAGTAAATAAATGACTTGTAAAAGAAGCTTTGCCTTTTTACTGCAGCGACACGTTCATGAAGTGTACTTTATTATTATGTTATGTTTGAAGAACTGGTCTGTGGTTTATATTTTGTGTTAAGTGTTTCTTGATTCAATAACTCCTTTGGTCCAAATATTAAATATATAATAATTAAGATAAAACATAAGATATAGAATATAAAGTTAATAAAATGTTCTTAATCTACGACAGTAATGGATTCTTTGATCACTTCATCTGTAAACCACAAAGTCACTCTTTATTTACACTTCCTGTTAACTGATGATGTAATTGATGGACAGTGAAATAAACTTGTCAAAACATAAAATGTTTTTGTGTTAAACATTTTAAGTAATAAATCTAAAGTATCAAACTTTAAAGAAACTCATTATTTCAAGTGTTTCACAAGACAAAGTATAATATAAATATATTGTATTTATAAGAAAAGAAACGACAGAGTATGTAAAGTCAGAGCGTCCTGAAACAGGAAGTGTTAGAAATCTGCACGTAAGTAAATATTTAGCAGCCAAATCAAATAGTTTACAGAATGTTTAACTTGTTGTCCATGAATATGAGACATGAGTTTATAGCTGATTAAAGTGAAGGTTAGTGGTTAACAACTCTCGGGTACACTTAAGGTGGACCAAGTCGTTCTCCTTAAAGTGAGAAGTTTTCACAGCATTTTAGTTTTGTAACGGTTTCATTGACAGCATTGATTAGTTATTAACATACCGCGATTATTGAAATGTATAACTTTTAATTCATAAATTAGTTTGTTTGGCTGCGTCGATGACTGTCAACATGTTTCTACACGTTATCTCCAAAAATAAAGAATTATAACATGAAACACTCCGTTCTTCTTCACGAGTGAAAACGTTTATTAAAGCTTTTCAGTGAAAACATTTGGTATCGTTCTGCAGTAACAGGAAGTCAAAGAGTGAAACCTGACGGCCCTTTAAAAAGCTGAGCCTCCATTTGAACTTTTAACTCATTTAGAAACAATGACAGAAAACGATTCTCCCTGAAGACACAAAGTGCCTCATTATCTCCTCAACGGGACTCTTATTGTGAAAAACTTCCACACAGTCGGTTGATCACAGCAGCCTCTGGTGTCCGTTAGAGGAACTGCAGCTTTAAATAAAAAGGATCACATGATCATTTCAATAAATACAGAATAAAAACAGATGAACCCTGAAGTGTCACCAACAAAAAACATCATTTACTGAACTGACTTAAACATTAAATGGTCACTTCACCAAAATAAAAGACCCAAAAGAAGAAGATCATTAATATCTGTGACGCTCTTTTATCCTCAAGTTATTAATGAATCATCACAGAAACAAATAAGAAATGATGAAATAACATTTAAAATAGTGTTTTTATAATTAATATAATTCATTAAATGCTTATTGAATCGTATTTCTGTGTTTGACTCCAGATGTGAAAACGTGAAGAAGAAACTGCAGGTTTATGAGATTGAAAAATTAGAAACAAAATATTTTTAAAACTTTTAAAAGCATCTCAGTGGACGACTTTGGGACCTTAATCCAGAAGAAATGTGGACGCTCGTCAACGGAGACGAATAAAGTTTGATCCCGTTTGAATTGGGAACAAATGTTGATGTTTGAACATTTAAAAGATCATTTTACGTTCAAGAAAGTGTCAGTTCATCGTAAAACATACATCTTTAGACAGACGACATCACGCTCTCTCTGAAGATACGATGTTTGTCGCTGACTAAACAAGAAAACGTGATGTCACTGTGAACGTAGTGACGTTAGCTCGCTAGCTAACATAGCTACGTTCACAGTGACGAGACGAAGTTCAACACTAAACTAAATGAAGCTACAACGAACTGAAAATATCTTTTAAACGATCAGACATTGACTGTCTCTCTCTCCGATCACTACTGCTCACATGTCATTGGTTGACACAGGGAAGGGGCGGGGCTTGCTGAGGTCGACGCGGCGAAACAGCTTTGATGCAAAAGATCAGTTTTTTACCTTTTTTACCCTTTTTGGTATTTGAAGAAGAACTCATAACGTGATATTAAAGCAGACGGATTCATGAATCTGTTGTTACTGAACATTAAAAAGCTTCTGTTCAGTTTCTCCCCAGCAGGAGGCGCTGAGCTGTGAGTACTGCGTACGTGTACATGTACACTAGTTTCAGTAAACCGATGTATTGATTAAGGCCTCGTGTCTTCACCGTCTCTACCTGCCGCCTCAGAGTTCAATGTTTGGTCCCCGGCCGCCGCTCGTCCCCTCGCATTCCCTGTGGAAGTCGCAGCCGTCCAGCAGGTGGCGGTACACGGCCCGGACGTCCCGGTACAGCGGCGCGTCCTCCGTCTCCAGACCCGGGAATCGAACCGGCGACTCGTTGACGAGCAGCTGCAGCCGTGGGCCTCGCTGGCAGTCGTACAGGACGAAGAGCAGGTTGGCGGCGTACGGGACGATGAGACCGGACCGGAAGCTTCTGCCTGAGAACCACAGAAGAAGAACGTCAGGCGAATCGTGCCTTCACGGCCCCATCCTCTGATTGGACGTGGGGGGGGTGGCGGAACTTCCTACCATGCTGTGAGTGGTAGTTGTCAGCGGTGGGCGGAGTCTCATCCTTGTAGAGTCCCAGCAGGGAGAGGAGGGGGAGGAGCGTCTCGGCGTGACCAATCAGGATGGAGGCCGGCTCAGGAGGAGCATCGGTGGACCTGATGACAATAAAGTTCATTCAAAGCACACTTCTGTCAGCTTCCTGTCCTCTGTGATCCTTTAGAATAAGAGTTTGAATTCACAGTTTACAGATTCATCACGGATCATTTTAAATTATGAAATTTAAATAATATTAGTTTATACTATTACAAATAATAATAATTTATAGTAATATAAATATTTGTAAGAATTATCATTATTACAATGATGATAAAGGTTTATGTAATAATAATTATTATAATAGATAAATAATAAATATGACTTCATAATAATACATATTATAACACTAGATACATATTAGTTAATAAGTATTGTTATGATAATAAAGTTTATAATATAATAACAATGAATTCATAACAAACAGTTGATAATAATAACTCGTATGTTCCTGTGAGGTCACAGACCTGCGGGGACGTCCAGCTCTGTCCAGAGTCCTGAATACGTGATGGAACAGAGGACAGCTGGACAGACTGTTGATCACATGACCATGAAAACGCATCCAGTACTGCTTCAGGTCAGACTTATACTCCAACACCTGCAGATCACATATTATGAAGATGAACTATTATTATTATTAACACAAGAAGATTTAAAGCTCCACTGATCAATACCTCTGACTAATAATGGATCGATACTTACATCATTTATTTGAATCAACATCCTGTGACTGAAAATACTTTTTAGTTCCATGAAATATCAGTTCATCCTCTGCTGATATTAGCATTACAAGGCATTAACGCCAAATACTCTTAAACTCCAGCCCTAGTTTTAGGCCTCTGCTCGAAAATGGCATACCCATACTAAAGAGACTTCAGTTCTGTAACTACAAGGTCTATTTTAATCATTTTTGATGCTATAATCAGATAACACTTGTGAGATTGTTCAGATGGGTAAATATTGTGTATATGTTGCTGGTTAATATAGTACATGAAGATATTACACAGCTCAAATTGAAAATATTCAGGTTCGCCTGAAACAAAAGCACTTTTATTGATATGTTTTTGAAATACTGCAGCTGGCTGCCTAAAAACTCTCCCAAATCATAGCACAACCGATCAGTAGTCCTAGAATAAAGTTTGGCTGGGATAAAGTGAAGAGTAAGAGGCTTTTAGTACAGAGAGGTCACGCGAGGTCGTCATTTTGGAACCAGCTGTTGCAGCTCTTACATTGTACTTTTATAGACTACATAACTATATATTATTATCATATTATTCAATACATCCAAATACAGCCGTTTGGCATCATTTTGAGAGCCAGGGTCCTCTCAGAGCCTGTTTCTGGCTGTCATCCGTGGGATTGTCTCGTCTGAATTCCAGTTGCTGTGTGTGTATGGGAGTGTAGCTCAGCCTATCATCGGTCGATTTCAGTCAATGAGCCCGCCTTCGACGCGTCAGAGTCCCAGGAAGGCTGTCGTCAAAGCCGGGTGTTGATTGACAGAACTTTCAGCGAGTAAAGATGCAAGAAGTGCCGCGCATCCCCGAGCGTAAAATTACATTCGCCAAAAGTCTGACCACCCACCCATGGCTCCAGCAAGTTAGATTGACCCCCCTTCTACAGGAAACAGATGAGAAACAGACAGGATGTAGTTGCCAACAATGATTCTAGCTTTGAACCGGATAATTTTCGCCTTTATTTTTGTGATTATTCATAAAAGGTAAGCAGATACCAACGATTTTTTTCTGGTGAAGGGAACTGTTGTGTTGCCGTTGTTCACTCACAGCTTTGTACTGGTTTGACAGAGAGAAAAACCGAAGGCATTTATGGGTTCTGCGTCGAATGCTAATGCTAGGCGATGTATGGATTAGCCGTATAGCCGTTAGCTTGGTGTTCCAATATTGAAGCGCAGTAAATAAAACGCAGATTTGTGGCCAGGAATACGTGGTTTTATGCCACATTTTCTAGTTGCTTATATTAGTAGTCTATAGTTGTGTTTGGAGTGTGTAAAAAGTGACTTATATGATAGTGTTGCCCATACGTTGCTGTTTAATCCGGTATATGAAATGTACACATGGACAATAATCGCTATCAATATGACCATTTTTTGGACGATATTTGCTACCCCCCCTAAGCCCGAGAGGGGCGTCGTGTGCAAGTGTGAATAGACAGCACTCCGCTGCATAAAAAAATCACCTTCAAAATAAAAGCACAGGATTTAAAAAAAAACAAATGTTTTCAGGCACCACCAGTTGAGAATCACTGCTTTAAAGTATTTATGGTTCTACATATATTAATCAGACCAGAGATCCTCTGTGAGAGAAGACGCTCCACTCGGGCTCTTTTATTTGGAATTTCTTACCTTTGCATCGTCTTCATCAAACAGGAAACACCACGAAGAGTGAAGAGATTTGATGGAGAGCTCGTAGGAACACAAGAAAAAGGCAGCTTCAACCAGATCTACAGGAGACACAGAGGGATAAACTTCAAGAGACCAGACCAGAGACCAGTGGCTCTGTTTCCGCTGAGCAAAAATATGAATTAGCATGTTTAGAATAAAGCAAAAATCTAAAGTCAAAGTTCTGAGAACTAATTTCCAGATAATAGAAAGAATAAAGTCCAAAACTTGAAAGTAAAACCAAGTGAGAAAACTTTGTGTGTGTAAGTGCGTGAGTGTGTACGCC